CAAATTTCATAACTGATTTTTGATCGTATCATTCATGACGCTTTTTTGCTAAAATTCGCTATCTTTATCACGTATTTACAAAAAAAAAAACTATACAACAATAATCTATAGACCCAATTACATTCTCAAATTTCATAACTCACCTCCTCCGACCAACGGGCCGGGGCTCCATGCTAGTATTATTAAAGGTGAAAGCCAAAACCCATTGCTCCATTTCAAATTTCCTGCATCGGGAGTGAATGTAGGAAGGACAGTTTTGTCTTCATAACTACTTATTTCTTTCTTATTTATTTATAATAAGGGATACTTATGGTGATTTGAACCATGGCCAATTTAAAGAGAGGGAAGAGCTACAACCAATCACACTACACATATTTGTTGTATCTTTAAAAAAAACATATACAAACCTAACATCTAAAAAATCATAGGACTTTTACAACGGTTAGCTAGCCACTAAATCTCTCATAAGTACTTATTTGGTGATTTGATACTTTGATTTTCATACTTCGATTATTTTAATTGTAATTTAATACTTAATTTGCGTTTCTATGTATATTATAAATAGTGGATAACTTTAAAATTGCAACCCAAATATAACTTGGTTGCATATCAAATTGGAGTATTAAGTAGGTCGAAGCAATGTCAAAATTTTATTTTAGTATTAATTTTTGAATTACTATGAAGAAATCATATTGTTGTGTAGACTATATGAGAGGGGGTTTTTAACGTTTAAGCTAGGTTAGCCACTAAGTTTTAAACATGTTCCTAATTCGGCGTGATTAGATCCAATGATCATTGTACGAGATTGACTTTAGTTATTGGTTCATTTCACCATTTTTTGACATGTTAATGAATTTCTAGGGCAATGACATATGTCTACGTCTTAACATTTACACACAATACAATATATAAGATTAGAATGAGAAAAGTATTATCCGATTTTAAATTCCTACAACGAGATCCAAAATATGAATGACATATTCTCCTTCACCATTATTAAACTTATTTCTTTATAGAAAATAGACAAGTATTGGAATTTGAACCAATGTATCTTAAAAGAGAAAACAAGAATTATAAGCATGATTTTCAACCCATTGGTCGAATAAGTTTAGCCTAAACCGAGTATCTGTTAGGATGCTCGAGGTCGAGTTGGTTATCAACCCAAACTTGGTCAAATCAGGAAACCCACTCAAATTAGTAAATAAAGTCGATTCAACTAACTCATATGAGCACTGAGTCACTTCAAATCGACATAATTTTCAACAAATCCAATCACTAGCACTATTGACATGTCGTCCTTTTCTTTATCATAGACCCATGCAGTAGCGTACATCAACAAAGTTTGTATATACACTTGAAATTTAATTAGAGAAGAAGAGTATAAAAAAAAAAATTTGAGAATGCAATATGATATGCAATGCAAAGAAGGAAAAAAAAAACTAGAAAATAAAATGGAAAAAAGATTAAAAAACAAAAAGGGAAGAAATTTAGAATTAAAGCGTAATTTTGAAGGAAGAAAAAAGTATAAAAAACTGAATCCTAATGAATAAGTTATATTAAATCATCATTGTATCTAAATTTATCATAGAAATTTCATAAATATCTAAGCATAATACATGTCGAACCAATAAATTTTTTTCATATACATGAGTAAAGCTAGACTAAACCAAGTTAATCGAGTGACAGCCTTGGTCATAACAAATTAGACTAAACAAATTTATTATATATTTCCAAACATAAATTTATATAGCGAGAGCAAAGGAAATGCATGCAATATCAGTTTCTAAACATATTTTACTCAAATACATTTATATAACAGTGAATGAGTCTCTAAATTTTGCTTAGTTTTCAATGAAAGATGAGATGCACTTAATTGATCTATGAGTTTAAATATATTTTCATAGCACTAAAACCAATGCTGTCAAAGCCGAGCCGGAGTATGACCCGGTAACGTGAACGGCTCGGTCATTAATGGTCCAGCCGGCTTTAGACCGTTTAAAAACCGTTTGAGAACCGGTACCTCTGTTCATGAAGGATTGGGGAATTAAGTCCAGTAGAGCTTGGTGTTGTAAATGATCATACAGGAGACAAAGGGGGAAATTAGGTAGACAATTTAAAGAAAAGATAGTAAGTGTAGCTGTGGCTTGAACAAAAGAAGAAGAAAAATACATCAAACCCTATTCAATCCATGGCTTTCTTTTACCCTTCATGAATCGGAATTTTAATTTAATAACAAGGATTGAAGTTTGAATCAGTGACCACATGAGAGACTTGAACATATATAGATCTTTAGGTTGAAAATCGACAATACAATTGCTAGGCTAAGTCTTAGTTTCCTCTTAAAGATGAGGTTATAGCTTACAACAACCGACCTCTAGCCGGCAAGAAGACGAGGCCGGATCCGGCCGAGAAGTTAGACGGAGCGGACGGAGAGGGAAGCAACAGAGTCGCCGGAGAGGAAAGCAACAGAGTCGCCGGACCGAAGAGGGAAGCAACAGAGTCGCCGGAGAGGGAAGCTACGGGAGACGGCGGGATCGCCGCAGGAGGAAGAATGACGTTGTGCTGGCGACGAGGAGGAACGGCGGGATCGCCGCAGGAGGAAGAAGAACGACGAGGAGGAACGGCGCTGAGGAAAGGCGACGAGGAGGAGCGGCGCTGCCTCTTCTCCACGAAGAAGATAGAAGACTGAAAATAAAAAAATTAGGGTTCTGCTTCTGCAGCCCAACCCCGACCCCCTTTAGTTTTCCAATTTTTTTTTTTAATTAAATCAACCGGTCGAATTAAAAAACCGGACGACCGGCTCGAGCGGTTCGAGCGGTTAACCGCTTCAGCCGCTCGCCGGCCGCCCCAAAGAACCAGTCCGGCTAAATAGCTCGTCCGAGCCGGTTTTGTGCCCGGTTGGCGGTTTTGGCGGCTCGGCCGGCCAGCTCCGCTCGGTTTTCACAGCACTGACTAAAACTACAAGTATTGTGATCTTTAGTTGTTCACTCACCTCTGCTTCTGTTTTCATGTTCATAGTTTGCTATGAAATTTAGATAAAGAAACTTTAAATCTCGCGCATTTAAAAGTAGGAGATGAAAACTATGTAAATAAGTGATTGCAAATTTTCTAATTTGAAACCCAAAACGAAGGAATTAAGATATCTCATTTCGCAAAAAATTAAAAAGTCTCATGGGTAAGTGATACCTTACCGGTGGATCTGGTGGTGATTGAACAACTAATGTCAAACGAGGCTTAAAAATTCCCTCCTCTATGAATGGCAAAAAACATCCATCTCAAACCCAATTTATTATCAGTCAAATCATATTCAGTAATATCACTTATGGATCATACCAATAAACAACTATTTAGTTTGGGCCTAAATTATATTCATTACACTAGCTACCCAAAAGAAAATGAACACCCAAATCTAATGTAAATTTTGAAATTTTCTTTACTATATAGCTAGATGGTCGATATTATTGTTTCATATGCATAATTGTATGGACTCAAATAGACCCAAATTGTGAGTTCAACTCAAATAGATGCTCTCTTCTTCTAGCTCACTTCCCCATTCCACAAGTCGATAACTTAAAATAATCCGGCTAACGAGCCCGGTCAATAGCCAGTAAATTACTAGCTTCAAATCAATTGAGAATTGCCAACACACTCTCATCGTTTGCGTCGATAAGGAGATCCAGATGACGAGTCCCCGGTCGGAATCAAAGTTTATGACAAAGGATGCCCTCGCCTTAGCGTAAGGCCCGTAGCTAGAAGTAGAGGTAGGATACAGTCTCCTCAGTTAGCTAATAGCGATAACTGCAAGTTGTGTATATAGATTATCGAAACCTATTCCCAACCAATTTATGGAAGAAATGCGAGTATTGCAGACAGACTAAGAAAATCAATATTGTGAAATCGAACCAAAATTTATATTGAAAACGTTATTGGTAGAGTATTTTGTACTAAAAGTGTGGTTGTACTGTTTAGAATCGCTAAAAGCAGTTATCGTTTGGAAGTCAGTATCCGATATTTCCGGTCCGACCATCCTATACGGTTTGCAAAGAACAAACTTTGAGAGAAATTGCTTTATGTACTCTGTCCCAGTGCCACACTGCATAATGCAAAATGAGAGTTTTTTTTCCCAAATACAACAATAATTAAAAAATATTCATAAAATACAAGACTTAATTCCCCCCCCCCCCCAAAATACCTAAGTTTAGAGAGCCTCGATCCACTTTTTGAGGTAGTGGATCGAGTCTGATGGCCTCGATTCATGCGTTGAAATTTCTAATAACCTTAACTTTGTGCTCGGTTATCCGACCGTAGTGAAATTTTTTATGAATCCGCATAAACTTTTCGAAGACTACAACTTTTTCCATAGAAATATTTTCAGAATGTATGAGGAAATATGAAAAGTAAAGCTAACCTTATTCTCAAAACTCATTATATCCAAAATGATTTCCTATGCTGAAAATGTCATCCTAGTAAAAGTTGCAGGACTCCAAAATTTATGCAATATCAAATTTTTTTTGAATATCGGATTACGGACCACAAAGTTATGATAGTCCAAAATTTGACAAAAAAAAAAAAAATTGGCCGTTTGGAGTAGCAAATGACATATTTTCCAATTTTGTCAAACTTTAAACGATTATAACTTTGTGCTCCATAATCTGATTGTAGTGAGTTTTTTTTAATTATGGTTGTATTTGGGGAAAAACTCTTGCAAAATGCAAGGAGTATTATTTATAAGAAAGAAGAGACTATAGGGACACAACCAGTCAACCATTGAGTTCCTATAACCTAAGGGACCACTTGGAATCTATGTTCCTGAATCTTCTCACGGGACAGACACAAAGTGGAGTCTGAGACAATTCTGCTTATGCACTCTCTCTCTGGCTCTCTTTGTGTGTGTCTCTCTCTCTCTTCATACAAACTCGACACGTGCACCTCCATCTAGCTAGCTGATATGATTAAATAGTTCCAATTTCTCTTTCTCTTCTTTCTGCTACTCACAGTAAATTGAGTAGCAGCAGGTAGCTGCCAACTTACCTTTTCCGGCCAGAGGAAGAAAGAGAGGGAGGGAAAGGAACAAAGAAAAAGGGTATTATTTTAAGGGGGTGGAAATGGGGAGAGGGAGGGTAGAGCTGAAGAGGATAGAGAACAAGATAAACCGACAGGTCACATTTGCCAAGAGAAGGAATGGGCTGCTGAAGAAAGCCTACGAGCTCTCAGTTCTGTGCGACGCAGAGGTTGCCCTCATCCTTTTCTCCAACCGTGGGAAGCTCTATGAGTTCTGCAGCTCCTCCAGGTTGTGTAACTAATCTTCTTCTTCAAATACACATTACTTTCCCTTCTGTTTTCTTAAATTAACATCTTATGTGGGGTTTTTGCGACTATTTTTTTCCTTATTGTTTTTGAACGAACCTGCTACGTACTCTTCTAGCTAGATGTCTACATTTTTCTCCATGATGTTGGGACTACTTGCTTGCTGATCAGATCTACAATTGTGTTGATAGGATCTTGCTGTGTTTCAGTGTGAGAGTGAAGGCTGACCATGATGGAAACTAGAACTGATAGTTTTTATTTCTTCTCCATCCTTTTTTTTTTTTGCTGTTGAAGATAATTTGAGTGGGTTGGATTAACCAATATTTTGGCTAATTTTAACTTAAAAGTTGGCTTTTTTTTTAATACCAGAAAGTTGGAGTTTTGGAACAAGGATCTTTCACAAGACAATATTATTATTTGAAGATCTGACTACTTGTTAGTTATTTTGATCTATTTTTTTTTCTTCAAAATTTGAGTTCAAATCATCAAGACCCAGCATATGTACTTATTATTTTTCATTGAACTACGGTTTTGTTTTCTCAAGTCAAATTAGTGCATATGGAAATGGTATTCAAATTTTTTTTTTTGAGGAATAAATGGTATTCAATTTGAAACACTAATTGACGAGATGATATCAAGTGATAACTAATGTTAATTCGTCTCATTTTTATAGTTAATTAAATATATTTAGTGTGTCAATTATCTAAAAAATTCTTAGGCTGCCTTTTCGAAGTGTGTATCAATCAATTTATGAGAACCAAACCGTAATATGAACCGACATAGTAAAATATTACTGACTTAACTAGTATTAATTCGCTAAAAACTATTAAAGAACGATTGTCATACTAAAAGAAATATTATTTAAACTCTTTCAATAAATATTAATTTTTCAAAACAACTTTTTTTGTTACAATGGTGGGTGGGGTCGTGGCGGTGGAATTCGAGCTTTAATTTTCGAATTTTTATTAGTTTGCACCTTTTGGGACGGTGCATTACCTCCAGAAAATATGACTCCGCAATCAGAGGCGGCTCAATTCCCTTGCTAGCTAGGCAGCTCGAATTCACTTAAGACGGCGACAACGGATAAACAAGAAAAGCCGCACATAAGAAAAACCCCTCCTCCTCCGTCCAGATCCATTCTATGAGACAAACATCGATCGATCCTTAACTAGCCAAACAATAAGTTCTTTCCTCCAAAAAATTTTGGGTGCGTCTATGCTTTTCACTGATTTATAGCACACCCTTCTCCCCCAAAATCGAAGAAGACGGCCATGGAGGTAGATTGGGAATCACAGGCATGGGAGTAGATGGAGAAAGATCAGCGAGGACAAGTGGGATGAGTTTTTATTTTCTTTTCCCTTCGACAGAGCCATAGCCCATAGGGAAGATATGGTTGGGTGGAATGCTATGGATTGGTCGGGTAGTTCAAGCAATTTGATTAGTTAATAGTTTAAACTGCTCGTTCATCGATAGTTCGAATATGACCAATTTTCACTATTTCGAGCTGGTCTAGCTTTTAATTCATAGTTTTACCAGTTCGGCCAATCAATTTTCATTACACTAGTACCACCATTAAAAAAGTACAAACTGTGGAACCGCATGAACTACCCCAAATGGTAAAATCAACCACGAATATACTCTAACAACACAATCTCAAGTTCTTCAAGCACAACTGAGTTGTACTTGTAGCGACAACATTTTCATACATTTTGCTTCATCTTTCTCGCCAGATCATACTAAGAATCGTGCTTCAAACGGTAATACCGAAACATAGCCGTTAACATACCGATGGTGATCCAGAATACCGTAATAGCAGATCAATTGTTCCCATTCGAAAAATGGCAGCGGATTGTCCCCCAACCCTACCCTAATTTCTCGCTTCGCCTCCCCCTGTCTGCCTCCACGCAGCAGGCTTCTCTTCTCTCGTTCTCTCCCGAGTCCAAGTTTGAGTCTCCGTCTATATCTTCTCGTCACCACTCACCACCAGCCACCACCAGTCTACGATACAGAGAGGTATGTCGTTAACTCGCTATGACACAACTCCTAACAATGGCCAAGAGTAACCAATGAAAGGTACTGCAGTATAGTGGCTCAAGTAATAAATATCGAATCCACGGGTCTATAGAGTTACTATTACTCTGCTTTAGTTCATTATCTAGCAAACCAGATTAAGATGGAAGAACTAAAACTACTCTAGCAAACTACAGTTAAAGTTAATCTAATTACAAGTTGGGAACTCACTTAGATATGATTCCCCCTAGCCACTAGCCAGATTAATGATTGATGATCTCTAACATGTTTCACTTTCATTCACAATGCGGAGAATCCTTAACTAAACCTTGAGTCTCGACTAAAGGAACAAGGCCCTCTTGAGTCAATTGCCTAGAGGGACGTATCCTTCTCTAGAACAACCGATCAAGGCGTTCTGAACTAGATTCTCTCTATCGAATGAGGTTCTCAATCGATACAAAGCATTGAATCAAACCTCGACTAAAGCAATCGACCCAATACTATCAATCTATGGTGCTCTATTGACCTAGGTATTCGCTCTCATAGGATCAAAGCAGAATCAATAATCTCGATTAAAGCAGAATTGAATAATGAAAACATGCATAGATTGAATATGAACTCAAGATTATCAAGTAGGAGTACTCATACAATTATCCAATCAAACAAACATAGCTAGGGTTCCTAAAAACCTAATTGAAGGGAAGTTACTCCATAGAGAAGAGAGAGACTGCAGTAAGAATCTTCAGATGATCAGTCTTCAAGTCCAGGCTTGTTCCTCGAGCTTCTAAGGCGAAGAAATCCTCCAATTCCACTCCAAGAATGCCCTCAAATCACTCTATCTCTCTTTGGTTTGTCCCTTGGGTGTTTGGGATCCAAAACCCAGCTCTCTCCTGCAAAAATGCACAAAACAGGCTTTTAACAGCCTGCGCTCGCGACCCCCGGTCCAAATACCTGATCGGGTATTTAGCGAACCGGTCGGGTATCAACAAAATGCTCCGTGTCACTCTTATGGGCAAAAGGGAAAATACCTGGTATGGTATTTTTAGTACCCGGTCGGGTATTTTTGGTTAATGACCGGGGGGGCCTTCTAATCCCCGATCAGATGGCCAAAATACCCGGCAGGGTATTATGGTCGGGTATTTTGCAATTCCGGGTGCCCTATCTTTGATTCTTCGTTTCTCCCTCGTTCGGACTCCAAATCAGGTGCCGTTTGATCCCAGACGCTCGTAGTCTCGTCCTCTTTCTTCTCATGACAAGATTACATGATTATATGGTCACAAACTGAGGTATAAATCCATTCTTCTTCAAGTCATACCCGAGTTTCTTCCCCCGAGTCGCCAATTGATCTCCGATTGACTTGAAACTTGCACCTACGCTTCACTTTATGTGCTAGGATCTGAAATGTGACAAAGGAACACAACCTAGCATAAAATAGGCCTAAGAAGCGATAATGCAAGCTTAAACGATCAAGAAACAAAGGGAAAAACATGTGCAAATATCGAGTCATCAGCCGTTGTTGCTTGAAACCTCACCAGCCACCGATGAATCTCTTCAAAATTTAGCAGTTGTCGAGTCATCGCTGAGTTTGAGGACAGAGAAGCTGCATAGGGACGACTAATGAGGATTCCCAGTCGGATGTGTTCCCTCCCTCCCTCCCACTACTGATTTGATCCTTCCCTTCATTCTGATTCGATTGAAAAGGTTGAATGATAAATCAGTTCTGAAAGATAGCAGCTCTTGTCGATTTTTTGGGGTACAAGATATATTTACCGGTTACCGACTATCAGGTATACCGGTAACCGACTAAGATCTGGTATCGATATTCGGTAGCCACAATATCAGAACCTGGTATACTGAGTACCGGGTAATCGTTTACTGGTATACCAAATACCGATAGAATACTAGCTCTACATAAGATAGTCATCACTTGTGAATATTCATTTCAACCATGTACTTTAAAAATAAATCTATGCCCACTAGCTGAAAAAGGTTTTGCTTGGCTACAAATTCTATTAAGAGTTAATTTCATAAAAACACAGAAATTGTGGACATAGTTAGGGTTTGGGTTGGAGAATTAGAGAGGTTTAGGGATAATATTTTTCAATAATAATAATAACTAGAAAAGTGACCTCGCATTGCTGTGGTTCTATTTGATTGAAAACCCCTGCAAAAAGGATCATTGTTCATTAACAAAAAAGAAGTTATATAAGTAAGGAAAGCCTTAAGAATTTGTATCTAGTTGTTCCCAATGGGAATATTTTTGAAAAAAAAAGGAAAGCCTTGACAATATATCGCTTTGAAATATTAATTATTATATAATTATTATAATAATATTAATAGCCACATAGTTCTTTTTCTTTATGTCTTCCACTCTCTCAATCGGAAACTTTTTCTTGATTTACTATGAATCTCCTTCAATTGTAGCTCCCTCTCTCATATGTATGTTTGAATTTGCCTCCTCATATGCTTTGTGTTAATCCACAATTTTGCTTAAGATGCCACCTGCCACCTTTCATCACCAATCAAAATTCTCAGGCGATGCGACGTTAACCGGTTGTTTATGGGAGGTAAGGTTGTCAATCGGTTTAGCTCGTTGGTCCGATCAATTAAGTGAGTTGAGGATTAATGGTCCGATCATTTTAGTCCGATATAGCTCGGATATATGAAAATAGTATTATATTTTTCATACATTAATAAATTATATAAGATCTCAGCTAACATATGAGTAATAACACATAACATTACACCAAAATAACATGTCATACTTGAATCTAACATATGGTGTAAATTCACACATATTGATATAACATCAATATTCAAATGTTGAGTTTAGAATTTCAATGATTGGGTGAGGAAAAAAAAAAAAAAAAAAGACGACCAATTAAAAAACAACACAATTTGACCTCTAACTCGGTACCTTATAGCAGCCAACCGAATGAGTGCATGTTGCCCGTTTTTCTCACCGAGTTAG